CCCCCCCCCCCCCCCCCAATACTCCCCGTACTCCCCGCTAGGCCGTCTCTGTGCCTGCCCCGTCTCCACCCGCACCCCTCTCTATTGTCGTTCCCCCCCTCACTAGTTTTTTTGCGTTTTTTTCTCTCGGCGATTTTTTTTTGCGGCGTTTTATGCAGCTGTGGGCAGGCATTCCCGCAGTGTACGTTAGGGATATCTCCGAGCTGGAGGCCGCTTCGATAGTCACCACGGCAGCGGAAACTCAGGTAAGACGGGCAAGAATCCAGGGCACCGCCGAGGCGTGTTTCTTTATTGTTGTCGCCAAAGATCGGTCGAGAGAGGTCTCCCACGGGGTGTGTTTGCAATCCCGTCGTCGCTTGAAGACAGGAGGCCCGTTCCCCGCATGCAGGGAAACGGTCCGTCTAGATGGGCGAAGGCAATACACGTCGCCTGCAGAAGTGTAACCACACCGTCTTGTGACGTCGTGGAAGGACAAAACAGGGGAGCGCATGTTTCTGAGGTTCGTCAAAGGCCAGCGATTTTGGCGCCGTTTGCCCTGCTTTTGAATGGAGTGACCTGGAAATTGGTGGCTTGGTCATGGCGCCATCTGTTAAGGGCCAATTTGCCGATCGTGCCGCTTTGTTCTATGTTCACCACTCTACATCATGTGTTCTATGCGCCATGTGTCCTTTTTCGACCTGGCCGCGACCCGGCCGCCCTCCAAACGTTATTGAACGGTTTCGTTTTTGTCGTCGACGGTGCGCCTGATTCTCACCACTGTTTTTACTCGCTCTCTCTCCTGTACTGTCCGGTGCGCCTGCTGCGCTCTCTTGCGTATCGCTGGACTTTCTTTGTTTCCGCCGGCAACCGCCAGGCGCTGTCTCTAGCGCACGCGTCGGAGTGCGAGAAGGGGCCGCTGGAGATCGAGCTGGACGAGCGGAAGTGGGATGAAAAGGCCAGCCGCGACCCAGCGTGAGCATTTGTTGTGATTCTGTTTCACTCACTGTTTTGGGTCGCCCGGCGGAGGTTACAGAGGTGCTTGTGGAACTTGAATAGTATCGCGCCGTTACCCTGTCCTAGTCGTTGCATACCGCTGTGTCGACTCGCCCGTTAGCACGTGTCTTGCCCAGTGTGTAGGCGTTGTTGTTGTCGGTGGAGATGGTGTGGCTTCGTGTGTCTGTGTGTCTCTCGTCATAGCTACTATGGCGACAGTCCCACCTTTGTTCGTGGTGAGAATGTGTACTCCAATCTTCGGTATTTGTAGAGTGCTACACTTTTCAGTGTATTTTTTCGTCAACTTCAACCATCCAGGGTCCCACGGGAGGGGGTAAACACTAGGGCGTTTTTCTGCTTTTGTTTACTTCGCACCCCACCTTCTTCCTGCGGTGCGTGCTATTTTTTTTTGTTTTATAGAGAGAAGGGTCCAGCCGTCCCTTTCCCTCGTCAACGGTGCTAGCGTCCAAGTTTGGTACTCAAGAGCTTTTTCAGCTATATTTCGCTTTCACCCGCAAGTGTTGAAGTAAAATTTCCACCCCATGCGGATTCCAACTCACGGCCTTTGCGATTAGCGGTTCTGAAGGACGCCACGAGACCACCGTGGCGTAGATATGCTATGTAGCATTTCCCCTATATTCCACAGCGTCTGTTGCCGGCTTCTGGGCTGCTTTCGCTTATTTGTGGCTCAGCGGACTTGGTGCTGTGTCCGGTGTGGTGGTGACTACAAGGTGGCAGTGAATGGGGGGTTGAAGGCAACGATGACAGTTTCGATGAGCGCATCCTCCGTCATTCCTCCGTCCTGGAGTGGTTGGTCGCGTAGTGTGTGTCAGGCGCAGCATGATCACGCATCCGTGATGAGTACCATGTTTGATTCCCAACCAAGGATTCACAGATATGCACCGTCGACTCCAGGGGCGACATCCTGCACGAGCAGCGCGCTGGAAACTTCAATAACCCCCGTCCCTGCCGTTCCTACCCCCCATCCCCGGTCTCTCTCTTTCTCTCTTCCTTTCTCTGACCCAGTTACGTGTTCCAGGTGCCGGAGGAAGGGGACGACAACCTCGCCTACAACGACGTGGAAGGGCAGGGCGTCCCCGGGCGCGTCTTCAACACCAACCTGCGCTCGCCGGACGTGGAGTACGAGCCGCCCACGTACGAGGGAGACATGGCCGCCGGCAACGACGCCGAGGAGGGCGGGAAGATGCCTCACGCCCCCGCCGAAGCAAAAGCTTAAACACGCGCTTTGTTTAGACGCAAGCACGGGTTTGTACCACGGGGGGGACGCGGCGTGGAGCGGCACCTGGGGGGGGTTGCGTGGACGGAACGATGGTAATGGTACTCGTGATCACAGGGCGCGCACTATTAGTAAGGAGGAAAGGAGGGCGTTTCAAGGCTGCGAGGATGTGGACTCAGCACTAGGCGTGCATGGGCATAGATATGGTGGAGCAGTAAAGGTTTAGCGGGCAGTAGCGCCCGGCGGGATTGGAATCAACGTCATGGTCTCTCTCTGTCTGCCCCTTGTCTTCCGCTCGGTGGTTTTCCTCAGATGCTGCCTCTTCGTTTTCCCGGGTCTTTTGGGGGGGGATTGGGAGGATGGTTGGAGCCTTTTGGCCCGAACTATCGGGACCGAAATCAGCGGTTCTTGGTAGAGGTGCAAAGGGGTCGTCTGCCGTGTTGATTGCTGTGAACTTGTCGATGGTAACCGAGTCCTGTCGAACTTGTCGTGGTATCTGTCCTGGGCCATGATTCGCGGTGTCTCTGCTCAAGACTTTTCGAGACGACGTCACGTGCAAGTCTTGTGTTTGGTGCAATTCCCGACTGGAGCTTTCCTGGCGAAAGTCGAGTTTCCTGGAAGGCACTCCAACGCCAAATACAAAGCTCCCTTGTCGAACTGTTTGGGGTAGACCCACACAAATCGTGCGTACATTGTACCTCTACGCGTACATGTGCGCCGCTCCAATCGACGAAACACTAGAGGGCATCAGTCTTCTGATAACCCCTCAACACCTGAGCGTGCGCACGTTGGCCGACTCGTCGCAAGCCAACGCATAAGTCTACACAAGCGTCACAGCTTTTGTATCTCCAGGAACCCCTGAGGCCGGGGAAAGTCTTCCCGACACCCCCCCTCGGCCGGTTCCCCCGACTTTCCACTATAACTTCCGTGCGGGCCTTCCTTCGGCGCCTCCCCGATCCCAGCCGCTACAATACGATCACCAACGAGACGCCCGTGCCCTCCAAGCACCCCAGAGCTTGGCCTCCCACCGCTGATTTCGCCGACGAGTATCTCGAACTTGACGGACACCACCCCGCCCGCGGGGCACGCCAAGTACTCCCGAGCAGAACTCGCCAGCACTTCTCCCGCCGGGTGCTTGCTCCGGCAACGGGTCGGATCCCCACAAGCTTCTTTGCTGTCGGCTGAGGGGCGGGCGGCGGCGGAGACCGGTTTATGCGCATCATTTTCTCCAGACGCCGATACCAAGGGCTCTCTCCTGCGCGAGGAAAAGCTGTAGACGGGGTCCCCGTTCAGGTATATCTGGGCGCAGAAGCGGTGCAAGAACGGCGTTGGGACAGGGCCGAGATGAACGGAATGGGGGGCAGAACGGGAGCAGTCGACAAAGGTACGAGTGGTGTTGTGTGGCGTCACGTGAAGGAGGTATGGGTGAAAAACCTTGGTCGTTGTAGTCCAGCAGTAGTCCAGCAGTAGTCCAGCTACAGGAAAACAAGGGTCGGGGGGTTGCCGTCCGTCTCACCGTCGCCACGAAGGGGATTTGGGAGAAGAAGCCGCAGGAGAGGAGGTACAGTCCCGGCACCACGGCGGTCACGCTTGCACATCCGGGTGTCCACTGATGGGAATTTCCGCAGTGCACCGCCGGTAAAATGGGCCCACGCGCGGGAGAAGAAGAGAGAAGAGAACGGGCAGGGAGGAAGCAGTTGTGATTTGCAACAGAGTGGCGGATAGGGATCAATGTGAGGCAGCTACCCAGCTATTGGTGGTGGTGGTTTTGGTGACCTGGGTCTAGAAAAGGAAGACGTGGAGACTACTAGAACCTCGCATTCTTCGGCATACTTCGATTGACATGTACGGAATCTGTCGTGCGTCGGACCGACCTTAAGACGCTCGGGGGACGCGTTCGCCGCCTCCGCTTCCCACGGCACCCATATCCCGCCGCCGCCGCCGCCGCCGCCACCAGCACCGTCCACCCGGGAACCTCCGCAAAGCAGGATCCCGGCCGAAGTGAAGCCCCCACCGTCGCCGGTGACGCCGCCGCCGTCAATGCCCGCACTGTTCCCAGGTGCCGCTGCTGCTGCCGCTGCTGCCGCGGCGGCGTACGCCGCCGAAAAATTGACGCCGCGCCAGAGCCAGCGTCCGAGACTGAGGGACCGGGCCACCCTCAGCTCGAGGTTGGACTGCGCGGCGAAGAGACGCTCTACGTGCGGTTGGCTTACCGCCACCTGCCGTGCGCGTCGGGACCCCCGGCCGAAAAAGAAGGCGAACACAGAACAAGGTGGGGTATGGAGGAGAACGGGATGCTTGGTTGTTTCCGCACATTTTCGCCAGATTTTGATATGCTGCTGAATTGACTAGATGTATTAATACGAAACCATGAAGGTAGTGGAACCCAGGACGGCAAAGGGTGGCAAAGGAAGAATGGGTCTCGCGGAAGCATTCTGGATTGGGATGAAGTACTGGTTATCGCTGTCGCGCGGCAGATCCTCTGCCACTAATGCAACAGGGAAGCAACGATGATGTATATCTTGCATAGGTTCGAAATTCCAGGCGGCGTAGGTCATCCCAGCAACTCTCGGCTGCCAAACACCTCGAGGCCAACCTAACGCCTGGTGCCCTGGGTTTATATCACGCTCTCATGTTGTTGGCAGGGGTCACTCGTACCGCGGGCATGAAATTCGTGCACGTCTCCTGCAACAATCCCTAACATCCGTTTCGCGGCCTACCCTTAACCTACCAGGCACGTCATTTCAGGAAATCGCTCTTTGCCATGCTTCTCGGCCCTACATATAGTGATTGTGCTCTTAACAAACGCTTCGGTACACCCTTTCCATAGAAAAAAAAACAACTGTAGGAAGCCGAACACTCGATATGTGATGGACGTACTACGAGCGAATCGCTGGTAGCCACCGACGCCATCCTTTTCGACGAACCTACTTCGAACATGTGGCACACACGACACAACGAGAAGCTAGTTGGGCACCCGTTCGCTTGCTCAGTCGTACCGTTGACCTCTGGAGCCGATGGTTAATGTTGCTAATGCGCCGGTCCAGCCCGTCCGTGGTTGTGGTAGCCGAAGCCAGCGCTCTCGCGGCGCAATCTTCCGCCAGTACGGAAGCCTCTTCGCTGGTTTGTGAGATCCAATGCCACACAGGATTGGAGGGGGGGGGGACGTCAATGCAACGGGAGTGATGACGAGGCTAGATTCGAATACGTAACCAATGGCGGAGGGTCATGACAGCGAGGCATTCCGAGGGATAATCCGTAGTAGAGACATGTGCGTCAGGGGTACTCTGGTGCTCTGTGTACCGTGCAGCGTGTAGCTATAAAAACATGCATCAGAGCTTGTCTGAATACGCCCCACCCGCCAGCAACGTGATTTCAACCTTCGGTCGATCTTCACAGCCGAGAACGTGGATTTCGGGTACAGAGGTACACTCGTGTCCGAAGGCGAACACAGCAATAGTAAACCAATCGAGACAGATCGACTACCAGCGGAACGCACCGGGTAATCTTGTCAGAGATGCCCGCACGCTTCAGCTCTGCCCTGATCAGCAGCCTGGTCTCCTCCCTGCTCAGACCACCCCCTCCCCGACTCGGCGGCGCGGCGGCCCCCCTTTCCCTGCCGCTACAGTACAGAACAGCGCCGACTGCTCCTTGGGAGTGAGGGGTGCAACGATGATCGCCGCCGCCAAACCTGCCGTCGCCACCGGCATCACCGTCGCCGTTCCGGTCGCCGTTCCTGTCGCCGTTCAGGTCGCCGTTCCGAGACCGAAGGAGCGACGACGCGTTGCCGAGGTTGGCTGGAGGAGGGGACAGCATCGAGGGCGTGAGGTCCGAGGTGGACCCTCCAGCCGCTATCGTTGCTGCGGCCGTGGCCTTCGCTGATGCTTTCGCCGCTTCGACGGCTGCCGCCGCCGCCCCGGCGACGGTCTTTTTCACCGCCGTCAGGTCGTCAGAATCGGCCTGCGCCGATTCAGAGAGAGCTGAGCACAATTAGTGATATTCCTTGTTTCTCTGGTGCTGGCCTTTCGCCGCGAGACATGACGGCTCTTGATTGACTGCCACCAGTATTGAGCAAGAGGCATGGAGTGAAACGTCAAAGCTGAGCCGCGCTTGCGAGGGCTAGCCCTTGGCTTTCTTCTCTCCCCGACCATTTCTCTCTCTGCTTGGCGTAAGAGGCGGCCGGGAAGCGCTGGTGGAGGGGTTGTTAAACGTCAAAATACCGAGCCTAGCCTACCTTACGGGATAGGCCACGTCAATGCCCAGTCTCGTAGAAGCAAGCGCACAGACCTGTATCCTACATACCTTGGCCAAGAGGCGGCTGGAGAGCCTTTCAACGTCAAGCCTCAGCTCCCCCCTTAGCCCGCAAACCTCGCCGGAAAGGGCCGTCAGCGAGTGAGCCGTTCTCGCAGCGCTTTCTCGGTGATCTGATTCGTTCACCTTCAATCCAGGCGAACGGTGTGCGAGGTAAGGGGCGGGTGGGGGGCTTGTGGGAAATAGGGAGAGAATGTCCACGATGTACTACAACACGACGTCCAACGAACCAATAGAGACTGGAAGAATTTACGAAGGTAGACAAGGAGAGACTTGGCCCACCCAGCGACACCCTCGATCACAGCAGTGGCGGCGACAACCACAGCACCACCGAAACGGTTGTTTGGGTAGGGCCGGCGACAACAAACAACGAGGCCTCATGTTTTATCCTACACACGTGGCAGCAACAAGAAAAAACCTTGGTCTGCACGAGAGCTGCGAGTCTGCTCAAGTCCCCGCTGTCGGCCTTCCCCTGAAGCAACAGGGACACGTCTGCCTTGTACGCCTGTTCGCGGGAGACAACGCCGGCGTGGGCAGGGTAAGTTTGTCATGAGGAGAGCATTCGTGAGAGTGTACCGAACGTCGCCTGTCGGAGTAGATATGAATGCGTGAAAACTTGCATAGAAACCGACACGTTCAGGTCTGCCATACCCTCCAAATCCATCCCTAATCTCAACAACATCGAAGTTCTCAGCAACAAACTGCTGTCAATACGTTTGTGCAAACAACTACACATTGCTACCACTGATGAAAGCATCCAACTCCAAAACACCTTGGCGTTGAGGAGGGACACGAGTTCTTCCTTGGCCTGGTCCAACCCCTTGCCGATGCCCTCCGCTCGTGCCCGCACGCGGCCGACGCTCTCGTCCAGTTCCAGCCGCAGCCGTTTCACCTGCGAGGATCAGGACAACACGCAACAGAATGGAGGCGACACTTGAATGAGAAGTCGGCAGTTCAGAGCGCGAGAGATTCGAAGTCTGCAGAAAGCACCACGCTTTCTCCTGTGGAGCCACTGGTGGTGAAGCCCGGTCAAGATTCCCTACATACGCCACAAAACGCCTTGCATGAAGATTCGTAACGGCGGCTGGTGCCCAAAGAGGGAGGAAAACACCGAGCAGGGGAAGGAGAAGGCCGTGAGTTGATGCGTTCTCATGTCAGGCTTCAACCCGACTTTTTCATAGAAATGTGCTGTATCGGGACCAGTTGCTGTCGGGTCGTCCGTTTCGTGGGAACTCGATCGTTCGGACGGTGAGGCTACAGCACAGGTTTCTCGCGTGTGGGGAGGATCCCATGCACAAACATCCATACGAATCAGAAGAGAGGTTGGAGGACGACGTGAGAAAGTTCCGCCTCCGGGAGATCACTTAGAAACGGTGGCTTCCGTCTCTATACTGTAGAACCTAGCAAACAAGAAAAAGGGAATAGAGAGTCGGCGCGAGGAGCAAACCCACGTACCTCACGAAAAACCAACGTTAGGCGTACAAACAGAGAGGTCATGCAGCGCGCCCACCTGAGAGAGTAATTCCTCTTGCTGTGCGCCGTGAGCACGCGCCAGCTGCGTCTCCACCGTGCGGAGTGTGCTCTGACAAGACCCGAGAGAGGGAGAAAGAAGAGCATTAGAGAGGTGCAACGTGAGGCACGGAACAAAAAATGATAGAGAGCCGTGAAATGCGTCCTGACGCTGCAACAACTGAGTTAACCACAGCCGACGGGCTAACAGCTGCTCCCATTACGCTGGGTAAGGCTGACGGAGCAGGGCGTAGGCAGGGACAGATGTTTGGGGGTGACCGTGTTTCCGAGGGAATGGCCATCATATTCAGCTAAATTGTACAACAAGGAGGGTGGTACTGCCATCAACACCCACACACACCTCTCGCCCCGCCGACACCGCCGCCTGAACCTGCGAGGCGGAGATCCCCGAAGGGAACAAACCGTCATCCTCCCCTCCGCCGCCACCGTCGCCGTCTCTGAGACCGCGAAGGCATGCCCGAACTAGGCCCGGGAGCTCGCCTCGCGTCACTGGTGAGGCTGTCCGGTTTGGTGGTCGGTTCGGTTCGAGTTTTGATGGAGGAAGGGAGAAGGGTTGGCTGGCGGCGATTTCGACATCGTGGCGCATGATGCACCGTTGAGCCCAACCAGCAGTCTCCATTCAGGAATCGACATGCTACCCGCACGTGCAGATGAAGAATTGTGTCTCGCCTCCCCCTCTCGACCCTTCAATGGACACCCAGATCAATCCATTGTAGGATGCAGAAATCTCCACGACCCCCCCTCCCCCCTTCGAAACATACAACTGGGAAGAGAGGCCTGAGGACGATCAGGCAGGGGACCCATTCCCTACCTCTTGTTTCGCGCCCCCCGTCCGACACAAATCACCGGAAGGCAAGAGAGTGAACACAGTACTCCTCACTGCCTTGTTGTTGTTGTTGACTTCACATTAAACCGTATGCCAGTTGCTAAATGCCAAAATCTAGCAAAGACTCTCAGCCCGTGGTCACGAAAGTGCTAGAGCCATCTGAGGATCTAAAGAACACGCACACGTAGCAAGAAAAAGGTATCCAAGAGCCCGAAGAGGTACTACTACACCTATATATAATCCCTGCAGCACCGTACGCGTGCCCAAAACTGAACTACACGTCCGTCTCACCGTTCGACTACAGCAACATCACCCCCTACTTGTCCCACTCTGTACCAAAACGAATGATTGCCGACTACAGCATACTTGCTGTCTGAAGTGCTGTCTGTACAAAAACACCATGGTAGGCATGGAACAAGAAGCTGGCGGGGCACAAAGCTGCTGTCTGAAGTGCTGTCAGAATGTGTCTGCGGACGTACAGTGAAAAAGAACAACCAACCAAGGCCATTACCCTCGAGAAAAGCACTCCCGAATGACCCCTTTTGAGGGCACAACTGTGCGAGACTGCTTTAGTGGTGCTTCCTAGGACCCTACGGCCTCCCGCAATCGAACAGCGAAGCACGCGTGGTTTCTCGTGGTCCGCTAGTCCGTGCGGTGGGAACTAACCCCAAAAAGAAAAAGAAACACCCAGAGGACATAACTCGTTCGGGTCCTTGGGTGAGTGAGTTTCATGACGTCGGTTGTTGGCCTTACCGGGGCTCCTCTCCACCGCTTCTCTCTCCTCGCGAGCTCTCGCCGCGAGAAGACGCTCCAGGGCCGGGGACATGGCTTGAATGTCCCCTGTTTGCTTCTCCACGAAAGCTCGAACCTGCACGACGAGTCGGTTCGTTGTTGTGTTGGGCAGTTGACGGTTTGCGCACGATAGCCAGAGTGCCCTACTAGGAAGCCTCCTGACGACGTACAAACGTGTGGACATGAAGCGAACTTGTTCGGATGACTCGGAAGTACTGGGAAGGCTAACGGAGGTCCCATCTAGAACTGTTTGTGGCAGCATGGATTGTCTTCGTAAGTCAAGGATGAAGCCCCCCGACGTGGGAGGCACAGGTGATTCGCTCGCACAATTGTTAGTCATGGGCGTCTAGGAGTATGGAGCTATGGACGGGATGGGTGGGACATATACAACACCACGACTGCCAGGAGTCGTCAGTGCCTCAAGAACCGCGACTAGACGAGACACCCAGGCGTTGCTACCGCCGTCACGATCGCCGTCGCCGCCATCACTCCCACGAAGACAAGCCTACTGGGAACACCACACCAGACGACGGTCATGTCATTAGTATGCAGCAGCAAACTCAATAGCAGAAGCAGCAGCAGCAGCAGCAGGACCAGCACAGGGAATGCAGTGGGGGACACGTACCTCTTCCATCCCCGCAGCCCTCGCCAGGCCGATCTCCACCCTCTCCAACGCCGCAGAAGTGGCACAGTTGGCATCCAGCTCTGACAGCGCGCTGGCGTCCGCCTTGTCGCGAAGGAGCCGCTCAAAGTCCACCCACGACACCTCGAGAAGACAGACGGATCATGCGACACAGGACGGTGGCTAGATATTCTTTGTGGCGGCGATGGTGTCCGTGCAGTAGCGGCAGTATCCACACCCTTATGCTCCCGGCGGCCGAAGGGCCGTCAAGACAGACGTCTGGGGGCCGTGCGTGATTTCTTGCAAATTGAGGACATTCAATAGCCTGCTCTGTAGGCAGCCACAGAAGGGGTATGCGGCGCTCTCGGGGGTGCCGTACGCCATGGGTTGAGGGGGAAAGCTGCGGTGTATTGACTGGAGTAGTCGTCAAAAATTCGTACATGGTGCACACGTGTCGAAACAAGCCGAATGAACGGGTAGGAGGTATGAGCACCCAGCACCTGAGTAAGAAAGATAATTGAAGAGGCCTCGTGCATGTCAGCTCGCACGATGATGCCCACGAGAACTGAGACCCAACGACGCGCAGCAGCAAACATACGCTTTCTTTCATATCCCACGAGGGTTGTTCGGTTGACGATGGCCGTACGATAGTGCCATAGCGAAGTCTACCTAGCTCGCTATGCACCACAGGCTGCATGTTGCCGCACGATCAAAACAAAAGCAGCAGGGGCAATCGTGCCCAAACACATGTAGCGCGACCGTCACACACATCTAGCGCGACCGTCGTAGTATATAACTTGCCGCCACCTACGGGCGCATTTCCCTGCACCTTGGTGGCCAGGTCGCCGTCGAGCGCTTCTCTGTCTGCCTTTCTCGCCAAGCGGTTTTCCAAGTCTTGTACGTCCGTTCGAGTGGCAGCCTCTCCGCGCGGACAATACGCCTTCAGAAGTTACCATTGGACCAATAGACGCACGCGCAAGAAGTGAAAAATAGCCCACGGTGTCCTGAGTTGAATATGTGGTAGGGGCTTGCTCTACACCCACCGTAGGAAATTGATTGACCTGCACACTACAGTTCGCGCATTCCAAGTTGTGAGAGCTACAGGAGGAGTGTGGCCCTGCGCCCCCGACCGACAACACCTTCCACAGGAGACAAAACCGTTGATGGAACGTTCTGCATCTTCTGCGAGTAGAGATGGTCTCACGTTATTTCTTGAGGCGTAAAGAGCAGAGGTTTAAGAAGGGGTACGAAAGGGACGAGAGCACGAGAACACCATTCAGGAAAGGGTGGAAATGCTAGGAGACCAAAGGCGGTCGAAAACGCTTGCACCTCCTCGAGGGCAACAACCCCGCACTGGAACAGGGTCCCGGTGGTAGAATCGAGTTCAGGGGGTTCTGGGTCACCTCGATGTGCGCTGAGTTGTTGTTCAACGTTGTGCCGGCCACAGCTACCCTGAGGTATCGAAAGTTCTCGACCCGCACTGGGAGGGATGCTAATGGATGATTTAGCCCTACGGAAGAGCGTGGTTTGGTAGGAACGTCTCCCATCGGAGGCCATATGGGTACCACTCCAACAGAGCGCTGACGGCGAAGTAAAATACTGTTGCAAAGAAACGCTCGCGGCGCATCACGCACACCTCCAGGTCCGGGAGCCCCGCCTTTCCCGTCGCCGCCTGCCGCGCGGCTTCCACCCCCTTCCTGCTCTCCTCGCGAACCTCCGCCACAGACAGCTCCAGCTCTCGCGTCCTCTTAGTCACCTCCGATTCTAGCGTCCTGCAAGCCTCGCTCGCCGTCGACTTGGCACGGCGAGCGCGTTATTGGCGGGGGCGACGGCGTTTAATGGGAGGAGATGATGAGGGACTCACCTTCTCCTTCCCTGCTGGTGCAACATTTTTCATCAGACAAATCATTTCGAGAAGTGGCACCACTCCCACAACAGAAAGAGATTCCCATCCACTGTCCGGTGGAACGTAAACCTAGCGTGCTAGCACTTCTGGGAGGGGGGAGGGGCATACCGCAGATGTACACACCGCAAAAACCTGTGGGGTGGGGGAAGGGCGACATGGGACATCCCACCCGGCGACTGGGAAGCAACACAGTTGTCTCTCAATGCTGTTGTCCTCGCTGTTCGAGGAAAAAGGTATCCCTCACTGTTGCGCCGTTTGATTTCGGAAAGAAGGGTGCAACACCGATGCTGTTGCCGCTGCTGTACTGGAGTTGATTCTGCAGCTTTTGGTGGTGAGTTTTTCCAACAATTATCGCGGTAGGCCCCGAAATGCCCCGCTCGGAAGATCGCTACCACACCACAGCGGTGCATGCCATCTGTTATTTCCGATGCCTCAGTAACTCCCTACGCGCAAACCGTTGAGCTGCTGCTGTGTTTTTTCAGCGCCTTGGTTGCTGCCACTGCTGCTTCTGCTGCTTACCTGCACATCCCCAAGCCTCGGAACACGGTCAAGAGCAGACCTCAAGACATCCACTTCCTCCCTCGTGCTCCGAACGTGGCCGTCCATACGTTGAGAGAGCTGCGCGAATGCAAGCGCGTGTTGAAGGTGCCACACGTGAGGTGTAAACTATTCGGCACCGCGCAGCTCGAGTGGCTTCATGGACTAGCTGTACCGCGAGTTCGTCCTCTTATTGGAGGTGGAAACGCTACCATGGTCGTGCCACTGTAATGCGAAACATGACCCCCTGTTCAGAGTAATGGCTCTGATTTCGAACACACATATTCCCTTCCTTGTCTGAGACAAATCCCTGCGGATATGCAAATACGGTTAATGTGCTTACCATGTCTTCCATGCCCACGAGACGCGCTTCAAGCCGTCTCAGCTCGCTTCTAGATGCCGCCAGCTGGTCGGCGAGGCCATGCGCCGTGGCTTCGACCGCCTCAAACCCCTGCCGCACCGGGGTCTGAACATTGGTCCAACCGCTTCCAGACAGCGCCTGCAGCTGCCGCGAAAGGGCGCCTACAGCAGGCAGCTTATCAGAAGCCATCATGCGCCAGTCTCATCGGCTGGAAAGACCCTACGCTGTTCGGGTGGGGGATAGAGTTAGAGACGCTAGCAACAAGAAATATTTTCAGCCACGCGCGGATGCGCCAACAATCACCCCGAGTCGTGTTCGAAACTCTACAGTCAGATAGTCAGATTCAACCGTGCCATGCCACAGAGAGAGTTGGATCCTTGAAAAACATCATTCCAAGGGGAGCTCCGTTCTATCTGCTGCCCCCAATCCCGAGCCCAGTAAGAACTGTCACCCTCAATGGCTCTGTGGCAGAAATCACAGCAGTATCTTGGCCATGCCAAACATCGCGTTCGGCACGATCTGTCCTTGACGTCGATGGATATTCGAAATGTGGCGGGGAAAATGCCCATCACACTCCAAGAGCTGGGACACGTGTTTGTGACCGCGTACTCCTGGATACGTTGTGGTTGTGGGTAGTGCGTAAAGCAGTGGACGAAATGCCCACGGTTGTTTCTTCGGCTGCGTAACAGCAGTCGCTACGTCCTGTGCTAAGCCAGCTACTGTGCTAGACGTATTATAGAATCGGCAGTTGGGCATATTGTATCTCGGCGTCCAGGTTGTGCTTACCTACCCCAACCCCTTGTGTTGAAACTCCACTTGTATGCTATGTGCTTAAATCCGCTCGTTATTCACGAGAGCCGCAGGTTGCATCCGGGGAGCTGGGGGCAACAGGCGGCAGGCAAGGTGCTTTGAGCATAGATCGGCAGCGCTGATTCTTTGAGGCAATGAGGAGGAAGCGGTTGGTTCTCCCAACTTCCCGAGCAGGTACATTGCGAATCGTGAATCTCGCCGCACAGAGGGAGAGGGCGACAAGCAACAGACGAGAAGACCCGCTAAGCGGGCAGAGAGGAACAAGGGAGGTTTTCCGGGCAAGGATCTCTTCAAAAGTTCTCTCTGCGCGGCCCAGGTGAGGGACTGTTTCCAGGTCTCAAGCTTGGGGCAGTGGGGAAGCATTGACATACCGGCTTTGTGACGTTATATACCACACACCCCGCTCGCCCCGACGGCAAGCATCTTCGAGTTTTAGGACGACTTGCTTTCGCTCAGCAACACGTAGGGTGCTGGTGTATGATGGAGAACCACTGCTAGCTATGTCTTCTTGCCTTTGCTTCTGAAAGGCAGAGTTTCTGCTTCGACTCCCGCCTTGTTCGTAGAGAGCCAGACCCGTGATGGAGGCTATCACAGGCAGTACTGCATACCGTGTTGGATCGGCTACAGTCAGTACATACCCATGGGTATCGGTAAGCGGAGTCCTGCTTGTGGCCTACGAAGACGTACTACTACTGCTGTTGTACCTGCTGTGGGAACGTGCAGCTGCGTCACGCCCGTGTGTATTCTCGAGGCTTTCACTTGTGGCCTGCTCTCAAAGGGTGCTTCCGTGAAGCCACGGCTGTAACGTAAGGCGCCGCAACGCTTCGCACATAACATAGGCAACACTACCAAAGCATGGTACTGCGAGTAAGCTCCCCGGTGACCGAAATACTCAAAGAAGTGAGGGGTGAGGGATGCTTCTTTTGTACCAACCCATCGGACGTCTTACGATGAGGTTGGTAAAACATTTTATAAGCTAACCGTCTGAGAAGTGTTGCGGAACAGCGGAAGCACCGTTCGGGGCCCTAGACTAAACAATACAACCGGTATATCGTTGCATCTCCCAGCGAACAAAAATCCGCAAAGCGAGCGGTGGAAGAAGTGGTAGGATGGCCAGTCTCTATGAGTGCTCCCAGTGTTGTGAACTGCGCACGAACCCATCACCCTCTCTTCCCTCCCTCTGCCATGCGAAGATGCAGTCGCGGAACCAGAAGAATCTGCTGCAGCGGTTATGCCCATGCTTCCACATATCCCTCCGTCCCGTTTTTAAATCAGCGGAGCCCCTGTAATATGCTGATACTTGATACCGTTACACAGGTCTGGCACCCAAAAGGCGGCAGATGCTGAGGCCAAAATGTCTTCCAAGGCCAAGAGGGCACGAGGAAAGCATGGCGGGGGTGGCGTCGTCGTCGGCGGCAAATCGGAGGAGAAAAAGGAGAGCAGCGCCAAGCGCTGTAAGAAGTGCACCGCACTACTTCCAATGATGTACAAGATGAAGGACAAGCTCGCGGAGCTTCACCCGCAGTGCAACCAGTACAAAGTGAGTGTCCTGGCGGCAAAAGGAACCACGGAAATAGTACCTACAGTAGGTGGGTGTGCGGCGGTATGTTGGTGTCCGTGTTTGCGGCCGCATAAGGCCAAGGGATTTGCGTGCACGCTCAGTCGCAGGGTTGCTGCGAGGACATCCCTACCCTGGTGAAAGTAATTGCACAGGTCCTAGGTGGGTCATACGGTAGATCGCCGGGACCCACACTTCCCCTTGCCGTATCTCCTTGTGCTGGTCTCATCTTCATCGATACCCCCTCCTCCCGAACAAACACCGGCGCACAATCCGGAGCCGCCATCGGCTGGTCGCTGTCCCTCTCATTGACTCTACGTTCGCAACGATACGTGGGAATAACCTTGCCGTTACGCCTCTCACCGGCCGCGGGTGCCCATATACGTTTTTTGGCGATGATTCGCTGCAGCTGGAGCTCGAAGCTCTCAGAGCCGAGAACCAGGAGCTCCGGCGTCAGCTCGCGATGCCCCCCTTTGCAAGAACGCCGCCTGGGCGAACCGCACCCTCCACGGGGTCGACGAATTCGTCTGTGCCTGCCGCGCCGGTAAGACAGCGGGCTATGGGCTCGTCTTCTACCGCAACAAGAGCAACAGCAGGAGGAGGAGGAGGAGGAGGAGGAGGAGGAGGAGGAGGAAGAGCAGCAGCAGCAGCAGCAGCAGGGGCACCGTCAAAGAAGGGAAGCAAGGGTGCCGCAGTCGTCGCCGCTCGTTCGGAGGTCGTCAGCGATAAGAGGAAGGCGCTAGCACCGTCTTCGGGTGGAACTCAAGGTGCAGCCCTCACCGCCAGTCTTGGCCTTGGCAGCGACGCCGCAGGCAGCGGCAGCGGTGGCAACGAGGGCGGCAGTGGCGGGCCAAGCGGCCCTGTGGGCTCGACAGCGGCGGTGACGGCGCCAGCGCGGAAAGACAGGTCGAAAGGAGAGAAAGTACGTGACTGGACCGCTGCCGTTGCTCGGCAAAAACGAGAGAGGGGAGGACGGGGTGACGTCGATGAGAATGGGAAGGGAGCGGCCGGTCGGGGTGGCGGCGGCGGCGGCGGCGGCGGCAACGGTGGTGGTAGCAGCGGTGATGTTGGTGGGGGTTGGGGAGGATTGGAAAAGGGTGGTGAGGATAGCGTGGAAGAAGAAGAACAAGAGGAGGAGGACCAAGCAGAGGAGGCGGCCGAGGAGTCAGGTGCGACGGCCAGAAAAAAAGACTCCTCGAGCAGCGGTGGCGGCGATCGCAAGAAGGGCAAGGGTAAAAAGAAGAGAGGGGAAGCAGCGGAGGCGCCGGCGGTGGTGCAGCCCACCGGGGTGTTCGCGGCAGCCGCCTTCAGCTTCCTGGACGAGGGCAGCAAGGAGAAGGAAGGCGGCGAGACGACCAGCAGCGATGACGACGACGACGACGACGACGATAGCACCACCACCAGCGACGACAGCGACGGGAGCACCAACGGGCGGCGCCAGAATCAACCTCGCAAGCGCGCAAGAACGGCGAACGGGGGCGCCGCCGCCGGCGGCGTAAGCTGGGGCGGCGGCGGAAGGCGCCGTCGCAGCGGCCCCGTCCCCCAGACGTCGAGCATGCTAGCGAGGGGTTTCCGCCCCGGGGGCGAGAGCGCCGCCAGTAACGAGGACGGAGTCGAGGAAGAGGGCGGCGGCGAAGGCGACTTCGACGACGGGTGGGAGGAGGGCGAGGGGCAACAGGAGGAGGAAGAGGTGGAGTGGTATGAGGACACGCCCGGCGACATGGGCCGCTTGGGGTGGAGCCAGGTNGGGGGGGGGGGGGGGGGGGGGGGGGGGGGGGGGGGGGGGGGGGGAGTGAGGGCGACGACGACGGGGACGGCCTGGACAAAGGCTCAAGGGCGTTGGCGAGGAAGGTGAGCGGCGGCGGCGGCGGCGCCGTCAGGCGACGGCTGGGTGGTCGTTATTGCTGTTTTTTTTTTTTTACGAGGGGAGGATGTTCAATCGATCGGGGTCGCGACCCCAGTTTTTGTTACCATACGGTATGCCACTGCTGTCTCATGCTGATCTCTCTCTCTCTCTCTCTCTCTCTCTCTCTCTCTCTCTCTCTCTCTCTCTCCCTGCCGTCATTCGCCGTTAGTGCCGTAAACTCCTCCTCGCCGATACCGCTGGATCTGCTCCTTCCTTGGAGAGCGGCGACGAGATCCTCGGACCGAAGGGGCTAAGCGCCCTGCTTCGGCTGGAGCTGACGGGAGCGGTGAGCGAGGAATCTGCTTAATTATGTTCCTTCTATTTGTTTCTATCTTTTTTGGGAGCAAGGATGAGTTTCAACCGAATTTCACGGGTGTAATTATTTGTTTCGGGCCCTCCAACTCAGTTTTTGTAATGCATTCGGCCTCAATCGCACACTGATCGAATGAACACGTCGAAAAGCGGCTGTCATTCACCTCCAAGCAACTTGTGTTGTTCACAGCTTTCGTCCTGTGCGGAGCCGGCCCCAACCATGTGCCATGGGGTGCCTTTCGAAATCAGGTGTTGGTGTTGTGTCTTAACGGTTCTTTGCCACCAATAGCGCTGCCGAGCCTTGGAAGTAGTTTCTAGGACAAGTGCGTTCTCTTCTTTCGTGATGGGTAGTTGAACGATGGTGCCGTTCTAACCGGCTTGAGCAATCCTCCACCCCCCTCAAGGTTCTCTGCAATCGACAGCACTTTTCTTCGAGTGCGTTTTTCGTTAGCAGTGGTTGATTGACAGAAGAAGCCGTTCAGACCGGCTTGATATCCCCCCGCCTCATCTGCGAAAATAAGGCGGTAGAATCAAACACACCCAATCCCTGTTGAACCGGTACCCCAACCACGAACGCACAGTCAACCCCGCCTGTGATATGGAACTCCACATGCAAACGTCCTATATCCCCTCGAGGAAGGTTTCCATGGAAGGCGTGCTTGTGTCGGCGCTGAGGGGGAGGTCGTTGAAGCGAGACCACGGGTTTCTCGGCCGCTTGGCGCTGCAGCTCCTGTCGGGGATCGACGCCGCACATGCCTCGCCTCTGTCCGACCCGGAAGTGCTAAGCCTGGTCGTGGAAGAGCTGGAGGTGTGACGTTCCGGCGGTTCGGTAACTGATTACTGTTGTTGCCGGTTTTAGC